CTGCCCCCCCCCCCTCTTCGGTAGGTTCTCGGAGCTGCAAGAAATCGGGGGTAGATTTCAACGGCGTGGGGACCGCCTCTTTCCCTTGGAATTTGAAATCATGCCGGGGATGTGTGCTACCCGGGCCGTGGTTCTCGTACAAATTGCTCGTGTCCGAAAGAGCGTTTCGACGCCTGCCCGGGTCGCGGGCCACCGCGTCCGGCGTCCTGTCGTACATCAGAGACGTCCCTTCCTCTCGCTGCTGCTCCTCGATTGATGTTGCATTTGTTGCCGCGGTGGTCACGTCGAGGGAGGAAGGCCCAGAGAGTTTGAGACATAAAATTGTTCCCTCCCTTACGAAATTATCCCCCGCCTCCCCTCCCTTGGCAATGGGTTCAGCTCCCTCTACATATCGTCGCCGCCGTCGATCTCGTCCTATCCACGTAATATTTGCTTGACTGTCTATGCCATCAAGGCCAAGGAGCGGCGCTCGAAGGGAATTTGGTGCCATCGAAGAGGCGCAAGCGGCTGGGGCACTGTCGGTTACCTGATCCATGATGCAGGCTACGAGACTCGTCCACGATGCACCGCGGGGGCAGCGGCACGAAGCTGCGCTCTTTCTACGCCTTTTTGTTACGTGCAAATCATAGCCTGAGGATGGAAAATAGATTTTCAAAGTGGTAAGATAGTACGCTGTAAGATTTTTTGAGTATATGGAAGGCGGTGATCCGTACATATCTCCCGAGAAACGACAAGCGAACTAAAATGATCAGGCAGGCACTGCACACAAGAATTATGGAACAAAACGCATGCACGGGTATGCCCCACAAAACGCGACTGGATCGTGTGGAGGCGGAGGAAAAAGAGCCGTACATGATAGGCATACTACGAGTAGTCGTGGTCGGGGATGAGATCACGCCGTGACGTCACAGTCCATAAACTTGGTAAGTCTAATTCGAGCCCAGTGCATCTTGCAATGAGCTTCTCTTTCATTGCCTGAAAAAACAAAGCCTGTACCTGGTTCCGATTGGATAGCAAAGTAGTTCTGTCGCAAGTTTTACTTTTTAAATATCCTTTGCCAACGCTCTGGGTGGGGTCAGTGCGACTGCCGAATTGGCAAGAAAAACGAGGTAAATGAAACATTTAATGGAAACCGTTGATACCACGACCTTTGACACCGCCAAACCGGGCACGATGAATGTGACAGAAGCGTTCCTTTTATGGCCTCCTTTCTCAAATTGGAAAGCCCTCCCTGCCTCTTTCTCGTCGTCTCCATCCTCTTGAACCCTCACACCCTCCTTCCATCTCGCCCATTCTTGTCCCCTGACTGCTCGCACCCCCATGTTCTATCGCCCTGTCCTCCATCTCCCTTCCCGATCCTTTCTCAAAACGTCATGGCTGTCGCATCTTCTATGACCAGCCCTTCGAGCCCCGGCCGGGCGGGGTCCATGTGCGTCGAAAGCACTGCCGTGGCGCCAGCAGGCACGGAAAGCGCGGCCGGGCGCTTGTACGACGTCCGAAGAGGTTCCACATCGTTCGGAGTCAGGTAGCCTCGCAGCACGGTGACTTCCCCATTCCTCCTAATGATGGTCAAATCTACATTACTGCCCGAGCCCAAATCATTGTATATCCCCGCGAGAATCGCCTCTTTCACGAGCTCGATTGCCTCCGCCTGGAAGAGAGTCGACAAGGAAAGCGAGAACGGGAGATGCGTCGGTGAAGATAGGACGTGGACGGGTCAACGAGAAAGCTTCTCAGCAACCCCAGCCATTAAAAAACCGGTCTGTCCCTCCCTTCCTCCCTCCCTCCCTCTTTTCGCCTACCCACCTCCGTCATGTCCTCCTTGAAGCCCGTCTCGAAGACACTCATGGCCGCCAAGCTCCCACTCCCCATGGTCACGTAAGGGTTCTTGTCCGTGGAACCGTGGGGGTAGATCTGGTAGAGATGCGCGCCCGAACTGTCTACCCCCCCTAGCACCAAAGCGGCCGACACATGGCCTTGGTAACGGAAAAGCATCCGTTTCAGCATGGTGCAGGCCGTGACCACGCGGGAGGGGGAACCGGTGGACAGGCGTAGGAGATCTAATTGGGAGCTGTGAGAGGAACAAGGCGGGTGTGAGGGGAGAAATGGAGACTCACACAGGGTGCTGCGGGCACAGGAACAGATGGCCCCGGGCCCCACCGCGACGCCCTTCCTCCCCGTGTACCCCCAGGTCTCCCTCCCACGTCCAGGACCACAGGCTACCTGATCATCTCGGTCGTTTTCTCCGTGTCGGCCGCCGTCCCCGCCCCGCAGCAATAAATGTTGGGAGCCAAGTAGTGGATCTTCTCACAGTTCTTGTCCGCCACTTCCGTGCCGCCCGTCGCCCGTGTGTCCGCGCCCAATACCACGCCGTCCTTGAAGGTGACGCCTGCGATGGTCGTGCCCGTTTTCATGGCCTGCGGTCCAGGGGGGGACGAGGGGGGAGATAGGGGGAAGAAGGGAGGAGTCGTGGGAGGGTCAAAGCCGGAAAATGGCGCCACGTTGCACGTCAAGTCACGTGAGGGCTCCGTTGGCCTACGTCCTCATCCTGTGAAGTGGTGGAACATTTTGCCGTTGCGCGGCTGACTTCCTTTTCCTCACTCTTACTCACCGAGGGTAAGTGCATAGTCGTCTCCGTAGGCAAGGAGGCATTTCGGGCGTAATTGTCAAAGTTAAACCCTGGCACGTCCTCTTTCAGAGCTCCACGCAAAGATTGCTTCCCTGATTCACCGTGCATGACGACTGCAATGACTCAGGGCACTCCCTGCGACACTTAGGTAGGACCGAGTAGGGAGGAGGAAAGAGAGGGAAGCAGAAGTCTGTGTATGAATCTCAACTTACATATTGTAGACCTCGGCACACCCAGACACCTCGGATAAGTGCATTTCAATCTCTTCTGCATGTCCCATTCTTTGTCGGCTGTCTTTGAACTCAAGAGGCGTCTGAAAGAGACAGAATCAAGACGGGCAACACCGCCCCTAGAGTCTAACAGCAATCGATGGCTCGTTTGGCCTTCGGCAAAGAAATCCTCTGTGATCGCATTCAGCAGTCCGTTTCTCCATGCATCTTTGTCCTTTTACGCACCAAAGCCCCGAATTTAAACCCGTCAAGCAGGGGCCAAAGCCACAAAATGGCACGCCGCAACCTCTTACCGGGATTCCGACGCAAAAAGAATTCTCTTGGCGAAGGCACAGAGGGAGCTTGCGAGGGCCTCCACTTTTAACATAATTGAGAGATAAAGACAACGACAGTGCCCATTGAAGGTTTACGCCAGTCAGATTACACGTTGCTGCACAGCTTTTACGGAAATCTTCATCACGATGCTTTTATTTTTTCCATGGCCAGCGATTGTCTGGTCAGACCCCTTAGAGTTCTCTCGCGTTCTCGACCTCCTGGCCCATATCGTGCTGGTGCCACCTTTCCTTCTCCGGTTTACATGTGCCTGATGCCGGGTACTGGGCTTTATCAAGAGGCGTTTAAGATAAAATGATTAAAATGACGTGAATTTCAAATCGGATTTCGAACGTCGGCTCAAACAGGAATGGGTGGCAACAAAATACCTCATGGTAGGGCTGGGGCGCTTACAAAAATGCTGGGAGCAGGTATAATGAATTAAAGGTGCAAAAGCGTCCCGATAGCCGCCTTCGGACAGATTGCTGTCGTAGGTTGAGCTATTTACACCAAAATAGACGATTATTTTTTCGAAACATTGTCCGTTCCCTCTTTGATCAACGCCGCTAACCCGGCGTCCAACCGCCCGAGAGCATCCATGCACTCTGCGGGTGATAAGGATCCGTACGACAAACGCAACGTTCCAGGGGCTCCAAATGCCTCCCCAGGGGTGCATAGGACACGGTACTCGGTCGCCAGCCTGTGCACGGCTTCGGCTTCCGAGACGTGAGGCGGAAGTTGGGCGAGAAAGTAAAAAGCGCCTTCAGTGCGTACCGAGCCGGGGCAGTGCTTGGAGAGTACAGCCCATAACCTTTCACGGCAGTCCGTTAGGCCTGCCACTTGTCTCTGAACCCACTGCATTGCCGTTCGTGTTGTGGACAAAGGGGTGTGTGAGGGCCCGGATAAGCATGCTCGCGGAGGGCACCATGCGTCGCACAGGCAAGCTCCTTCTTCCTCCGCCCTCCCCGTGATGGCTCTCACCTTTCTCCCAGCTTCCAAAGCCGCCAACCCCACAGCTTGCGAAATCATGGCCGCGTGCGTAGGGATTGTGTCTTGGAGGGAACGGAGGGCCGTTTTCAGGCCCCGGGGGTAGACTAGATACCCTAACCGCCACCCCGCCATGCCGTAGGACTTGGAGAAGGAATACACGTGTATCAACCCTGAAAAATCGAGACTGAAGAAGAACAATCGGAGGATGCAAAATAGAAACGACAAGGGTAAGCAATCTCCCGGGGAATCGCACGCAAGGACGGGAGGGGAGCGAAGGGACAAGATGTGGGTGGTGGAAAAGACGCATCAGGGCAGAAACGGACAAGCAAGGGGTAATACAATATAGTGATGGCCTGTTTCTAGTCGGTAGAAAAATTAAAACATCTAGATTTGATTCTCTTACGTACGCGGACGCGCACAAGGAGACATGCCGGGCGCCCTCGTGGAGGAAGTGCTCGTAGCTCTCGTCCACCACCAGCCAAGCCCCGGCCTTACGGCATAAGGCCGCCACCTCTTTCAGGAGGCTCTCCGGACACACCGCTCCTGTAGGATTTCCCGGAGTGGTGAGGACGACCATTTTGACCGGGCTGGCGGCGAGGAGGCTGCGTAAATGCTGGAGGGGAGGGCGGTCGAGTATGGGGAAGGGTGAGAGGGGATCTCGTTCTATTCGTACATTCTGACTGCAAAGCATCCTGGGGCTCGGACCTTGGGCAGACGATGACATATTATATTGTCTGGAAATGTGTCACTTCTTTTTTTCACGTCTCGTTCTTCGTAACGAAACGCACTCCTTCACCTCCTCTTCCCTCCTTCCCTTCCTCCCTCCCTTCCTCCCTCCCCTCCGCCCTTTCTTCCCCCCTCCCTTCCTACCTCCACATCGGGGAGCCAAGTCGCCGGATCCCAACGCCCTTTCACCACCTCGGCCTGTGCTATTTGCAAGGCAACCAAATGGGAGAAGTAATAGGGCGCAAAGAGGACGGCGCGATCGCCCGGGTCACAGAGGGCAAGGGCCAGGAGGGCGAAGGCCTGGTTGGCCCCCCCGGTCACTAAGATGTCCTGCCCTGGGAAATAGGTAGAGGAGGAGAGTGAAGGTCCCACGGAGACGCAAAACGCTGTGGAGTGATGGCACCAAGGTCACGGACTTGTGCCAAGCGGCACAAGATGAATGCAATAAGAACAAACGTAGGAATGGACGCTAAACCATGCCGTCTCCGAAGGGGCGCGACAAAATGCTGGCCTTTGCTCGACTAGAAGTGGACAGGCATGTAAATGTTCCTGGTCGAAAAGTGCTGCTAAACTTTCCTACCTGTCAAATCCAATCGATTCTCTGTTTCCAATTTCCTCGTCAATGCAGCGAGCAAGTCTGCATTGCCGGCAATGGGACCGTACCCATGCAAAGACCTTGATTCTTGCTTTCCTACATCCTCCACGGCCTCTTTTTGTGTTCCTATGCCCCTTGATTCCGGGTACTTTTCTCCCTCTACCCCTTGGCCCATGGCTTGAAGAGTGCGTATTGCGCTGGGAGGTGGCCCCCAATGCGAGACTCCCAAAGCCAAGTTAAAGGTATCCGGCAAATGCTTGTATTGGTCAAGCACATCTTCAATGAACGGAGGTGAGAGTTTTTGGGACCGACACGAGATACGCGGGGCCGGGGCCTGCTTCATTTTCGAGGCGTTCACTGTGTGGTTAGGGAGGACGGAGATGGCAGTCTAGACTACGATAAAGAGGCCAGAGGGGCAGGAGGTCGACAGATCGACCTCACAGCCATGTTTGCCTGAAGAAGATAAAAACAATTGGATGCGTACCAAGCACTCCCAACCCCTCTAAAACTCGTTCGAAAGTCCTTCCAAACCCGACCGCAACCTGAAGTTGCCTCTTCTCCCAGTGGGCGTCGGACATAAGTCCCCACATTCATGGCACAGGTTGTGTGAGCCCCCCGACTGACTACAGGGAGGGAGGCAAAAGCGTCCGTTCTCCGGGCCGTGGAAAGCCACCCTTGTGCAGGATCACACGGGCGGAAAGTGCATACCAATGTGATCTTTCATGCACCTTGGTGTCAGTGTCAGGTCGAATGTGGTGCCCTGTCCTTTTCTTGTTGTGTTTCTCCCGGGCTTGTCACTAGGATTTTATTCCCTCTTCGCCCCCCGCGTGCATCTATCTACCTTCTATCTGCCCTCGGTTTGCTGTCGCGATACCCACCATTTTTTTCACGCTTTCCAAAGCCCATCCCTGCGTTCTGTCACGAACAGTAGGGATCAAGGATCCGCTGAGCGGTGAAAGCTTTTGCTTGGCAACCTGCCTCCTTTGCCATGGTGTGGCCTTATGCCTGCTGCCTGCTGGTGAGCAAGCACGGAGCGACAGGGATGATCACCATGACAAAGCTTCGAAGCTTTTTTTTTCTTTTTTTCGAGCCCAAAAGGTCGCAGCGCATGTCTACAGACGACCATGTGTCATTGCTTTTCGGGGGAAGACGGCGTGCTGTCTGGTCACAGTGTCAACAGACGGGGTTAGGAGCATTTGAGTAGAAATACCTTTCACACGTTTGCAACCTCTTTGCCCACACATCCATTTGTCGTCAGGCTTTGCAGCCAATTCGGTTGGTAACAAGCAGCACGACAAGAATGTCGTGGGTATCGATCCCAACAATGGTGTGTCTAGGCGGGTAGCTGCTGTAGAACGCATCGCGGGATCGTTTGTGCCATCGACTCCACATTAAACTGGGATTTCTCTTCGTTGTTTGTCTCTTTGGGGGGACAGGCGACCAAACCTATCGCTTTTTATTACGTCCACGGCTTGGCTACGTTTCGAATTTTAATTTTACCGGCGTGCTTTGCGTATATTCCGACCAAAATGTGGGCTCATCAGTTTCGTCGTTCCCACAGAATCACAGGCAAGATCGCTGGCGTCTATGAACTTGACGCTCCTTGGACGTCATCAGTGCGGGTGGTAGGGACAAGATAAACAAGAATACAAGAAAGAGCGAGCGAGGACCAGCGTGTGCGTCAAGAGGCACGTCCGGATCAAGGAGCCGGCGGTCGGTTGAGAATTTTAGGAGGTATCATAACGCGTAAGCGTATTCCTTCAAAATTATCATGACGGAGGACATTGACAGCAGCCACTCGAAGAGCAAAAAAAGCAGCCGCAAGCGCGAGCGGGACAACTCGTCTCCCCGTGAAAGCAGTGGCAGCGGCAGTCGTAGTGCCCGGTCGGGCCGGCATGAAAGCCACGGCCACAGGCGTGTCTCCCCCCCTTCTTCGAGCGCGAGCTCCCGGCTTTCGCACCACTCGCGGGGGCGGGACCGAGACCGAGACCGAGACCGAGACCGAGACCGAGACCGAGATCGGGAGGGGGAGCGGGGCGGCGGCCGGAGCTATGGATCCAGCGGAAGCGGGCGAAGGCGGAGTGTGAGCCGGAGCCGCTCTGTCTCGCCGTCTCGGGGTCGGAAGAGAAAAGAGAAGGACCGGGATAAGGGATGGGAGGAGAAACACGTGGAGAAACAACGCGGCCATCGCCGGGAGGAGCGGGTGCGTAGTGCGGGGCCCAGGCACGAGGAGGAGAAGGACTCGGCGAAAGACGCGGCCGCCGCCACGGCTAGTGCCGCGGCCTTATCGGTAATTGCGCGCTTGAATCAAAAAGTTCAGCAGCAACCATCGACAATATCCCTCCCTCCCTCCTCCTCCCCCGCCGCTCCAGCTCCGGCTGCGTCGGCCTTGGCACCTTCAGTGGCGGCGCACCCCGCCTCGAAGCCATTGCCGTCTGGCATGGCCGTCACCACCACACCAAGTCCAGCGCCGTGTCCCTCCCCCTCCACAGGGGATGGGAGCGACGGCCGCGCCCCGTCGCCCACCACCAGTGGTGGGAGAGTGGAAGGGGAGGACAGGGGCGAAGAGGGGCTCTCCGTGTTGGATGCGGAGGCCCATGCCCAACGGGAAATGCAAAAACGAGCCGAGCGAGTCCGGGCTTTCCAGGAAGAAAAACGCGCCAAAGAGGCCGCTGCCGCCGCCGCCGCTGCGGCTTCGGCCGCCATGGGCAATACTAAGATGCGCCTGGCGCAAGCGGCGTTGGCGTTGACAGGGAAAGTGGGGATGACGGCGGCGAAACAATGGTCGTTGGAAGACGAGGAGGAGGAGGAAGTCGGGGAGGAGGGAGGAAAAGGGAAGACACTGGAAAGGGCAGAACGCGCGAGCACAGACACGCCCTTGAGCATGCTCTCGGTGGAGAACCAGGCCTCAGTGTCCCGGGACGAGGAGGAGGACGAGGACGGGGATCCCCTGGACGCCTTCATGAGTTCGTTGGAGAGGGGGGGCGGGGTGGAAGGATTGGGTA